GTCTATGGCGTTGAAAGCAGTGCCAATAAGAAAATGTCCAGGCGTGAGAACCTCCAAGTCGGTAGGATTTTCTGAAATGGGGCAGAGTGGTCGAGAATTAAGCATGGCAGACACTTCGCAAACGAGAGTACGAAGTTCATGAAAAGTTAAAACCGATCTTCCAACCACCCTGTGAAAATGATATTTGGCTGCTTTTACGGCGGCCTCCCACAAGCCACCAAAATGAGGCGAGCGGGGGGGTATGAACTGCCAACTAATGCCATTAGACAACAGGTCATTGCGAAGCTCGATGTTTGGAGGATCAGCGAGGAAGATTTGCCTGAGCTCCTGCAACTCGTTTCTCGCACCAACAAAATTTGTTGCGTTGTCCGACCAGATCGTGTTGGGCTTGCCCCTGATGCTGGTGAAACGCTTGAGAGCGGCGAGGAACGATGCGGTAGATAAATCCTCTACTAACTCCAAGTGAGAGGCCTTAGTTGCGAAGCAAATAAAAACTGCCACGTAACACTTCGCAGGCGGTCGATTCCTGACTTCCGATTTCGAGAAGAATGGGCCACAAAAGTCGATTCCAGTCGTTGTAAAAGGACGACTTGGTTGCACTCGGCTGGCCGGCAAGGGTGCCATGATGTGCTCCATCATTCTCGGCTTCAGTCTGAAACACCTGATACATTTGTTTACGATAGCTGCGACTGTTTTTCTGCCTCCAATTGGCCAAAACCTCTGGCGCAAGGCAGCTAGTAAACTTTGCGGTCCTGCGTGCAAAAACTTGTGATGAAAATGAGCGACGATTGCTTGAGTGACAGGATGATCCTTTGGCAGCAAAATGGGATGTCTCGCATCGTAGTCCAGAAGCGAGTTTTGCAAGCGACCACCAACACGAATTAGTCCTGAGTCATCCAGAATAGGATGCAACGACGAGAGCTTGCTATTTGATGCAACCTGCTTGTTCTTTCGCAATGCTTTGTAGTCCTCTGCGAAGGAAACACGCTGGATTCCTTTGATGAGTAGATCTGTGCCACCTTTGACATCATCGACTGTGAGTGGTCCTTTGCGACGCGTTTGATTTTGAAACTTGAGAAGCCAGAACCGGTATATATATCCAAAAACTCTCTGCAGCTTTCCAAATGAGTTTTGCAATTTGCAATCGAAGGAGATATCCTGTTTCTCGGTTACGACTAAAACCATGCGACGACGTTCAGGCAAGTCGTCCACAATAGGCGCTATATTTGGCCAGCACGATGAATCCGAACGTAAAAATGGAGGTCCCTCTCGCCATAGGTTCGACTCCAAGAGCTCGAGAGGTGAACATCCACGCGATAATATATCGGCAGGGTTCCAGTGTGTTGGTACATGACGCCATGTCATGGGCTTGGTGCGATCCTGAATCTGCGCAATTCTGTTGGATACAAAGATATTAAAATCTGATGGAGGTTTACGAATCCAAGAAAGCGTTATGGTTGAATCAGACCAACAATAAAAATTGCAATCATATGAAATGGTTAGGGCAATGTTTGAGATGAGCTCTGATAACAATAGCGCTGCGCATAATTCCAATTTGGGTATCGTGAGGGCTTTTAGAGGCGAAACTCTAGATTTGGAACAGAGCAAATGAGTTAAGACACAGCCATGCACTTCAGATCTGACGTAAACGCAGGCGCCATACGCTGCTAAGCTTGCGTCGCAAAAGGCGTGTATCTCCAACGACGAGTTGGGCTGCATAACGAAACGAGGAAATTTCAGATGATTGACCGCTGACATCTGCTTCATGTGCTCCAGCCATGAGGAATGCAAAGATTGCGGAAGCGACTCGTCCCAATCCAGTTTGTCTTTCCAAAGAATTTGCAGAAATATTTTCAATTTTGTAACAATTGGTGCTATCAATCCGAGAGGGTCGTAGAACTTGGCAACGGCCGATAAAATTGATCTTTTCGTTGAACCGCTTTCTGCCATAGTTCCAGACAACGAGAAAAGCAAGTGATCCGATTTTGCATCCCAATATAAGCAGAGTGCTTTGAGGACATCAGTTCCATCATGAAACCTGAGCGTTTTCTCGCGATCAATTTCTAACTCGCCTTCTAAAGCTGCTGCCTCATTTGAACACCATTTTCGAATTGGAAAATGACCCTTGGATAGCAATTCCTTCACCTGCTCACGAATTTGAGCTGCCTCCTCGATCGAGTCACCTCCAGAAATGAGATCGTCCACATAAAAGTCTCGGCGAACTATTTTGGCTGCCAACGGGAACTCAGCTTCCTCATCATATGATAGCTGCTGCATAGCACGAATTGCCAGAAATGCAGCCGGCTTAGTGCCGTAGAGCGTATAAGTCTTGACTTGTTGATTTGGGTCGTCACGCCATAAGATAGACTGCAAATAGTTATCAGGACTAGTGACACGGACACATCGATACATTTTGCAGATGTCCCCGCATAATGCAACTTTGAAAAATCGAAAACGAAGCAGTGTGCTGAAGATTTTGGGCTGTATTGAGGGACCTGCAAACAACAAATCATTTAGAGAGTAACCTGAGGTCGTTTTAGCTGAGCCATCGAATACGACTCGTAACTTCGTGGTTGTACTATCTGGCTTCTGCACGCAATGATGAGGCAAGTAATATTGCGAGGCTACTGATTGCTCAGAAGCAAGCGACATATGATGTAGATCGATGTATTCCTTGATGAATGCAGCGTATTGCGACTTCAATTCCACATCCTTGAGCAATTTGCCCTCTAGCGTCTTAAATCGACGTAAGGCACGACCGTAAGAATCACCGAGCATGTCAAAACTGGCTTTGGCAGGCAAACGAACTGAGTATTCCCCTGAACTGAGTCGAGAAAAGGTATTCTGGAATAGTTGCTCGCACAATACGTCTTCATCAGTAGCGACGATTGGAGATCCACAGTAGCTGTCGATTTCCCAAAACCGTTTGACAATATCTGGCAAGGAATCGGTTTCCGATTGGATGACGGGCTCAGTGGTAACCGGAAGTGCTGAACGCTTCAAGTTTGAGAACGAAATCCCTCCAGATGCGATCCAGCCAAGACGCGTTTTTTGCAAAATGGGCAGATTTTCGGCTAACCGCATTTGCCCAACGCAAAGCAATTCGTAAAAGATTCCACCCCCTATTAACAAATCGATACGCTGACTATTGTAGAACCACGGATCAGCAAGAACAAGATTTGGTGGTATGTTCCACCCTAGCGCGTTTAAATCGAAATGAGGCTGATAATCCGTAATCTTGCCACTAATTACTGCAGTCAGTGCTGACGATATTTTTTATCCCTAGAGTGCGCTTCGAGATCGACGGTTGCGTTTGATGAAAGTGATGATTCACCAACTCCAGAGATAGATGTGTTAGCTTGACGAGTAGTGAGTTGCAACTGCTTAACGAAACGAGAAGTGACGATGTTGATTTGAGCACAAGAATCTAACAAGGCTCTGCAAGGAACAAATGCACCAGATCGATTTCTGATGTATACGATGGCAGTGGCAAGCAGCACATAATCGGTCTTACTATCTGACGAGACAACAGGTGGAGCTTCAGAGAATGATGATGATAAGAGCGAAACGACATTTTGAGAGTTAGTAGTGGTAGTTGGAGGAGAGGGTGCGGCGATGGCGTTGGAATCGATGTGAAGCAACGAATTGTGCTTCGAATGGCAGCGTTTGCAAGAACCAGACTTGCACTGTTGCATACCATGGCCTTTGCGCAGACAATGCAAAAGTTTGTTATCAAATCTCGAAACTAGTAATTCGATAGCTTTCTCATAGTTAGCTTCCGTGGGCTCCAGTGAACGAATTGTGTCCAACGCTGTGCCATCCAAGCAGGACCGAAGATGCTGGAACTTTTCCACGTTGCTCAGGTCATCATTATTGGCCACAATGGTGTTGTACATTGCGTAGAAATCAGGCCAATCGATATAGGCACCGCTGAACCTTGGCAACTTGAACTCTGGGAGCCTTGTGGCACGCGCAGCGGGTCTCGAATCACCACCGACATGTGGAAGGGCTGTAGAATTCACGGCTGAAAATCTACGCTGCTTGCCAAGCTCACTCGAAATTTGCGATTTTACCACGAGGTAGGTGTTTGCGAACTTTGACCGAGCGTCACTGTACAACTCCTGCAAGTCTAACCTTTCGACCGCGGTTTGACTTTTATCAAAGTCCACTTGCATTTGATCGATAAAATCAAGTCGCACTTGAAGATCAGTCTCGTCGAAGTTGACCGCCTCATCTGACTCCAGGTAACTTTTTAAAGCTTCTACCTGTCTTAAGGTAGCCTCAGACTTTGCTTTATAAAAGTCCAAGTCACTTGGTACTAGAGGTGCAGAAACATCGATGAAAACATCGATGCATCGATGTTTTAAAATTTCTAAAAAACATCGATTGTTTTTTTGGACCATCGATGTTTTGAGAACCATCACTATTCAAAAAATTCGAAGAAGAAAAGCACGCTTAAGGTTCGTATTTTGTAACATTTTACTTATTTTGTTAATAATGTTTAATTATTTACTTACAATTATAGGAAGTGATATTGGTGGTGTAGGCGCGACGCTGATTCAGTTTAAACGATGGATAAGTTCTTGAACCGTAAGTAAATTAAAAACTGCGCAGTACATGGCCAACTACAAGTAATGTAGTCGATTGCGTACATATGTCCCACGTGTGGCGGCCAATTCTCATCTGTACATTTTTTATAATATAGGTACAACGAAGGAAAATGTTGAAGGTCCGTCGCCTAAAAGGAAGCGGGAAACCTCATGTGTGTGGCAGCACTTTAAGAAAACTGAGGACAAGTCTAAGGCCACCTGCATTCACTGTGGGAAAACCTTAAAAACGGCAGGAAACACCACAAACTTAATGGACCACCTCAATCGTATTCATCCTAACTACAGTGTTTTGGAAATTGATGGTCAGTCACCAAGTCTTGATACTTTTATGCAACGAAATATTGAGTATCCGCCAGAGTCCCAAAAAAAAAAGCATTGGACAAATATGTAATGCTCATGATAGCACGGGACGTTCAACCGTTTTCCATGGTTGAGGACGAGGGATTCCGTGATTTAATGCAGCACATGGACCCAAAATACAAAATCCCGAGCAGAACCTTTTTCAGAGAAGTAATGCTACCTAAGCTATACAAAGATTTGAAAAAGGATCTGGAATGTGAGCTCGAGGATGTCCAGTACGTTGCTATTACCACGGATGGATGGACTTCCCGTGCAAATGAAGCTTACATAACTGTTACGTGCCATTTTGTGGACAAAAAGTTTCAGCTAGTTTCAGCGGTCTTGTCGACGGCGAGTCTTTTGACGCCCACAAATCACTCAGCACTGAATATCGCTGATACTATTCGACAAGTATTAAATGAGTGGAAACTTCTGCATAAAGTTGTAACTATAGTAACTGATAACGACGCTACAATGAAGAAGGCATGCGAACATCTGCAAATGAAACATTTTCCATGTTTTGCGCACACGATTAACTTGCTGGTTCAAGAAATTCTCAAATTGGAGATTATTAAACCCATTCTTACCAAGTGCAAGACTGTTGTCGCATTTATGAAGCGAAGTTCGACTGCCATGACGAAATTTAAGGAAGCTCAAATGGTGACTGACCCACTTGGATTAATTCAAGAGGTACCAACTAGGTGGAACAGTGCCTTCCAAATGATGGAACGAATTTTGAAAACCAATGGGGCACTCTCAATTTCATTGTTAGGAACTGCAAAGGCTCCGGCACCTTTCTCTGCCAAGGAAATTAGTGTCCTGGAGGAACTTTGTTCATTGCTTCGTCCGTTCGAGAAAGCCACAAAATTAATATCGGGCGGGAAGTACCCCACTATGTCCCTCGTCATTCCAATTGTCTGCGAAATGCAAATACAAGTGTTTTCCTATAAACAAAGCTTTAAAAGCCCAGAAGCCAATCTGGCATTTAACTTTTTAAGTGATCGCTTTAATGATCGTTTTGGGAACTATGAAACGCGCACTGTTCCTAGGATGGCAACATTAATTGACCCCAGGTTCAAAAAACAGGGTTTCCAAAGAACAAATAATACCGATCAAGCATGTCGAGCATTAGAAGACGAGCTTCACAACGTTATTAAAAATTTGGCTCAAGAACCATCCACATCAGCGTCGATAGCGCCTACACCACCCAATTCATCTTCGAGTTTTTTTACGAATCTTCAACTCAAAATAAATGCAAAAACGACGACTACGCGTTCTGACGCAATTATATTGCTCAGACAGCATATAGAAAGCGGGAACGAGCCAGAAACTTGCGATCCCCTACATTTTTGGATGGTAAATATAAAAATTGTGTATTATGATTATTTTGAAATAAATTATTATAATTCTAGCTGTGTTCAAACAACATGCAGCCCTTCAAGGAGCTAACAAAAAAATTTCTATGTATTCCAGCCACGTCGTGTGAATCTGAGAGAGCGTTTAGCAAAGCAGGCCAAATAATTTCGGATCGTCGTACCCGGTTGAAGTCCGAAGTCGTTGACCAGCTAATGTTTATTAATAAGAATTACTATAGCTTTAATAAGTGACTTATCCGATCTCAATGGACTGAATTTTTGTTTTTATTTTATTAATTTCTCTAAGTATGTTACATGAATAAATTTGTTGTTTTTTTTCGTTTAAATACAAATTCTATAAAGACTTTTTAATTATATTTATAAATAAAAAATTATTTTTGAAAACATCGATGTTTCTTCGATGTTTTTTTAAAAAACATCGAAAAACATCGATGTCTGCAAACATCGATGTTTCTGCACCTCTACTTGGTACAGTTGGTACCGCCGCGGATCTTGCACCAACCGAATCACTATCAGCCATCATTTTCAAAAAGAGTACACGAAAGTCACTATCACCGTAAGCTGCCGATGCAACTGCACGAATTTAAATGCAAGAGACGAAAATGCAACGGAACAAATTCGCAAGCGTTCACTGACCTCGCTTAACACGGCTTATATATGCACTGCACTTTATATAACCAAGTTCAAACTGTGGTTATGTATGCGAACAAGATCACAAAAGAAAGCGCGCCAAATAATACCCAAGCACAGGAATATATGTATGTATGTTTGTAGGCCTCTTCACCGAATTGCGAAGTGGTGCCCAAATGCACTGATAAGCCTTTTCACCGATTTGTGAAAACGAAAAACGAAATAAAAAACACACCCCACGTAGATCACGTCGGGGTCACCAAATGTTCAGAGGAATGCAACTAATTTGTTGCTACCGCTTTATGCACTTCAAAAAAAGGCCAATGTTTTGCGATTTAAATGAGATGTGATTTTTGTATTTGGGTTTCTGAGTAATATTTGGTTTAAGTTTATGTACAAAGTTTATGTATTTGCGTACAAGATCGCGACCGACAATTTGCTTGCGAGGGTGTAGCGAGAACGAACGAAAAATGTGAATCGGTTAAGAGTTGCGAAGACGAATGAAATGATAAAGAAGATAGATAAAAACAAGATAAGCAAAGTTAGGCGCGATTACATTATGCGGGTGTTGGTAAACAACTTTGCGTTTACGTTTATGTTACGTTATGTTACATTACATTAGCAGTTGGACATTTGAATAAAGGGTAGAATTTATAAGTTAGGGGTTCTGCTCCGAACAGAACCGTTTTTGATAATATACCATTAGAGGAGAATGACGGGTTCTTCCTGTTAAAGTAATGTTTAATTATTTGAATTTAAACTGAGAAACTACATATGTATTCAAACATATGGTGCTAGTATTTTTTGTTTGTTTTTAAGCACCGGGCACACTTCTTTTACCGATCTGGCCATCCTGGCACTTCTTTTGACGCTTCAATTATCAAGCCTACTGAATAAATTGCTATTTTACTTTAAACAGTGTTTTTACTTGAGCGAATAAAACTTTAATAGGTTATGGGATCAGTTTACGCGAGTAACTCAAGTAAATAGTAAAGGCAATAGTGCGCGAAAAGAGGAAAAGCTTTTCTTTCGCGCAGTTGTAGTCAAAGCTTTTCGCTTGGTGTGGAGTCTCGTCAACGCAGCATTATTGAAGATGGATTTGGCGAAACACATCAAACCCTTGGCTGGGGAAGCGGATTGGCCGATTTAGCGAAGAAAATTGAGAGATATGCTGGACTACCACGAAGGTGCCGTGGATAGTTAAAGAACCCCGAGCCCTTATCAGATGATGCTACGGATGATGAAACCAAAGAGAACAAAAAGGCGGGTGATCTTTTCCGTATGGCAAACAGCTATGCTAAGTCAATGATCTCGAGTTCAGTTACAGATACAGTTTATCAAAAGATAATGGTAAAGATAAAGAGACAGCGTTTGAAGCATGGGAAGCATTAAAGGCGAATTTTGAAGCATCGTCCAAGGACCAGCTGTTCAAAGTTTGTACAGAGGTTTTTGCATTTTGTTGGATCAAGGGAGAGGATGTTTCTACACATGTTGCAAAATTAAGAAATCTATGGCATGAGCTCAATAATGGAATAAAGTCTAAGAACGAACATGCATTACGGTATTTGATACTAGTATGGAAAATTTTGAACATTTTACCAAGTGACTTTGAAAATTTTAGATCAAGTTGGTTACTATTGTCAAAAGATGATGATAAAACTGTAGAAGAGTTAATTACCCAACTATGTATGCATGAAAGAAATTTTCAAAAGGCCACAGAGGGAGCCACGGGATCAGCACTTTTCGCAAGCAGTGGAAAACCAAAGTCAAAGAAGAAGTCCAAGGAAACTGACAGTTGCCATTACTACAAGAAAAGAGTACATTGGGTGACAGACTGCAAGAAGTGGATTTCTGATGGACGACCAAAGAGTAATGCTCCTCAAAGCAACACCGTAGATACCAATTTAACTTTAGTTGTCGTCTCTGAAGATGCTCTAAAAATGGAAACAAATTCATCGGTAGACACAGGATGGTGGATCGACAATGGAGCGACGAAACTCGTGACCAGCTGTCCAGACCAGTTCGTTGATTTCCAAGAGCTTCATAGTCCATGCGTCATCAAAGCTGCTGGAAAAGAATCTCTCAAGGCGATTGGGAAGGGAACAATCGAGATTCTGTCCTTCACTAAGGATGCGACACTAAAGATGACGTTGACCGATGTTTGGTATGTTCCGAAAATTTCGAAGAACTTATTCTCTGTTTTAGCAGCCAAGCTGTTTAGCATTCAACAGCAACCAAGTGCTGGCTGGAAGTAGAGGGAAAAACAGTACTGTGCGGAAGTCATGAGAAAGGCCCTGTACAAGGCATCGATTGAACCGGTCATTCCTGACAAAGAAGAAAGAGTCAATGTCGCAGAAGCAGAAAGTTCTACACTGCAGTTGGGGTCACCAAGACAAGAGACACGTGAGAGAGATGCTTAAAAAGGAGTTGGGCATTAACGTGAAGCTGGTTAAAGAAACTTGTGAGCCCTGTATTTTCGGAAAGGCGCATCGTTTACCTTTTGGCACAAGAGCAAAGACAACAAAACCAGAAGAACTTGTCTCCACTGATGTTGTAGGTCCTTTTTGGGAATCCTTTAGCAAAAAACGATTTCTAGTTGTTTTTAAAGACACTTTCACAAAGTTTCGTAATGGCTTCGTAATAAAACATAGGTAAGTCAGATGTTAAAGTCGTTCTTAAACAATTTTTAGCACATTCGAAGACACTTGGACACAACATTAAAGAGTTACTCAGCGACAACGGCGGGGAATTTGACTGCAAAGAAGTCAAAAGCATTCTAGCAGAGAGTTGAATCGTTCAGAGACTGACAGCGCCATATACTCCAGAACAAAATGGTGGCAGTGAACGCGAAAATCGTACGATTGTGGAAATGGCAAGGACATTGAAGTACTCGAGCTGCGAAGTTGATTTTCCAGATGCAATGTGGGCAGAGCTAGTGACGACAGGAGTCTACATTCTCAATAGAACCGGGAAATCATCCAAGGAAGGAGTCAGTCCCTACGAGTTGTGGATGGGAAAAAAACCCAGGATCAAACATCTCCGCATTGTTGGATCCTCCTGCTACGTCCATGTACCAGCTGAAAAGAGAAAGAAGATAGACAAGAAGGCAGTTAAAAGTGTGCTTGTAGGATACGATGGTGACGAACGTTACAGAATCTACATCCCAGATATTCATCAAGTCATCGTGTCAAGAAATGTTCAATTCGAAGAGAGACCAAAATAATGTGAATGTAAAGTCGAGCTACCACTAAAAGACATCGAGAATAAAAGTCAAGATGAGATCAAAGACGATGTCAATGATGAGGCAAAGATCAAGAACGAAGAAAATCATCATGATGAGCCATCAGCCAACACTGAAGAAGAGTACGAGTCCTTCACTGTAGAAGAGTTTGAGTCCAACACTAAAGAAGAGACAAACAAGAGATTACTGAGAGATCGTTCAACCCTAAAGAATCAGATGAATCAGATGACTAAACATCCTGTGACGCTTGAAGATGCCCTAAGGAGCGAGGATTCAGCAGAGTGGAAGAAAGCCATGGATCAAGAAATCGCATCGTTGAAAGAAAATCATACTTGGACTTTAACCGAACATCAACCAGGTGCAAAGGCGAAACCATGCATGTGGGTCTTCCGGCTGAAGAAAAATCCTGATGGCAGCATTGATAAGTTCAAAGCAAGACTCGTCATCAAGGGATTTAGTCAACGTTTCGGCAAAGTTGGGAACAATTAGATCGATACTCAGCATCTCAGCGAGTGAGAAGCTGCATTTGATGCAGTTTGATGAATCAACAGAGAAGAGAAGTCTTTACGGCCTGAAGCAAGCACCCAGGTGCTGGAACAAGCGTCTTACAGTCTATCTTCGACAGCATGGATTCAAGGCCAGCGATGCAGATCCATGCCTGTATATTCGAGAGAAGAACGGACAGAAACTCATACTTGTGGTCTACGTGCATGATGGTCTTCTAGCGGCAACAGATCTCAGCGAGATGGAAAACCTTTATTGGAGAGTTAAAATCGGAATTCAAAATCGTCTTAAAGAAAGCTGATTATTTTTTGGGACTTGAAATTGTACAAAAAGAAAAGTGCATTAAGGATTGTTAAAAAAGTTAGGCTCAGAAAATTTTAGAACGTTTTAACGTTTAGTGCAAGCCAGTTTCAACTCCAATGTTAAAGGGCACAAAAATTTCAACACCAGGGAAAGCTGACGAGCCAACAAAATTCCCTTATAGGCAGGCAGTTGGAGCACTGATGTACTTGATGCTTGGCACAGGACCAGATCTGGCATACAGTGTGGGGTTCATATCGAGAACACTAGAAAATCCTACTCAAGAGGATGTCGTGCGAGTCAAAAGAGTCTTATAGATTTATAGCAGGGACTCTGGACCTGGGAATGTAGAAGTGGGACTTTTACAAGTGATCAGTGATGCAGACTTTGTCGGTTGCATCAAGACAGGGTGTTCTACTTCTGGAGTCGTCGTAAAGTATGCAGGAGGCGCAGTTTCCTGGACTAGCAAACGACAAGCAGTTGTTGCGACCTCAACTACCGAAGCAAAGATTATCCCAGCGAACGAGGGAGCCAAAGAAGCAATTTGTTTAAGCAGACTCTTCAGAGGGATCGTCAAACTTAAAAACGTTCCCATCATACAAGTTGACAAATTTGCAGCAGTGAGACTGGCTCAAAATCCGGAGTTTCACCGCAGAACCAAACATATTTCCATCAAACACTTTTTTATATAAGAAAAAGTGACAGAAGGGAAACTTGGCGTTCAACCAATCTCCACAGAAGATCAATTGGCGGACATCCTTACGGAGCCGTTGCAGAGAACACGCTTGAAGATTCTTTCGATGAAGATAGGACTCATGTAGATAGAGGGAGAGACTCAGGAATTCAACTCTAATTAACAAGGGAAAGTGGTAAAGTAATGTTTAATTATTTGAATTTAAACTAAGAAACTACATATATATTCAAACATAAGGTGCTAGTATTTTTTGTTTGTTTTTAGGCACCGGGCACACTTCTTTTACCGATCTGGCCATCTTGGCACTTCTTCTGACGCCTCAATTATCAAGCCTACTGAATAAATTGCTATTTTACTTTAAACAGTGTTTTTACTTGAGCGAATAAAACTTTAATACTTCCGCACTGCAGGCACTCGATGCACAGCAGCAGATTACACACAAGAGACCGATGAACTCTCAAAGGTAGTCTGACTTAGTTAGTTAATCATCTGTTTGAAGAAGATAAGGGTGGTCAAACCGAGGATAATTATAATCAGATTGCTAGTGATGACGTAGATGGCATCGACGGTGAAGAAAAAACGGACTATGGAAGTGATGCCGTGCATGATGCTTCATCAAAGATTTCGCATCAATAGCGAGACCTTTGATAGAGTTACTGAACGGTGAAGGTGGCAGGGTCAGCAGATACCGTTCAAAAGGAATTTCGGTGATCTTTGATAAGCCCCAGTTAAGCGCATTTGACAAGCTTAGAAATATCCTTGCCTCAAGAAGAGGATCAGCAGCATCATCGTCACTGATCGTGGCCACCACCTGGTCTCGATCGGTGCTCTGTATCATTATACGAGTGCAGACGCATCTACCAAGTGACCGAGCGGTTACATCAGAGCCAACACTTCCGTGAGCAGCACGTGCCACGGTGGAAACCTCCTGCAAGAGCTGTGCAGGTGGAGATTATTGTGGGCAGCGTGTTTGCCACAATATAAAAAAACCTTATCTAAGGCTTCGGCCACGCATTGAGCGATGAGCGACTGAGCGACTGAGCGACGCTCTCTCGAGCGACGTTAATGAGCGATCGCTTTGAGGGAGGTGGACACGCACTGAGCGACATAACTCGAGATGATTAGTTGAAAACATTTTAAAAATACCTTATTCTAGAGAGGTTCTACGAAATCTGTTTGAAAACCGTTATAGTAAATATAGGCAATTAAAAAGAATACAAAGGCGTAGGTTTGGCGTTCATCCCATTACTCGATTGATTATATTTTTATTTTATTTATATACTTTTATGTATTTTTATTTTTATACACTTTATGAGTGTCGTTCCACAAAACGGTTCGGCTTTGAACAGCCGAAATTAAAGTTTCCGCGCATATTTTTTGCATTGTTTGCATTTCGTCGCTCAGCGATGCACTAAAAATTAAAACCAATTCTAGCGCTGAGCGACGTCGCTCTGACGCTCAAGAACTTCGCTCGTCGCTCAGCGGCTGCGTGGCCACTCCAATGCATTTTCATAAGCTTTAATATTTTACGTCGCTCGAGAGAGCGTCGCTCGGTCGCTCAGTCGCTCATCGCTCAATGCGTGGCCGAAGCCATATATACATTTTATACGAACCCTGCAGTTCCAAAATAGCTTTTTTCCTGTAAGAAATCCGCGAGGAAGCACCGAGGAACCTGTGTACGGAGGTTAGGCCGCACCGAGGAATTGCGCGATGAATTTTGTATGGGATTCAAGTTTTCTTCATAGGTGCAGCTCTCGATGACTTTTTGGCCGTTTCATCGAACGATTCCTCGGTGCCTTATACGAATTTTGTATGAAAAAATTCGTATAAGGCATAGAGGAATTCGTAGCGGAAGTGGAAGCGGGGTTTTCCTCGAAAGCTTTTGCGAGGATGCCCTTTCGGAATTCGTCGGTGAATTTTTAAACAATTTCCTATATGAATTCCCCCAATACATTTTTTTGGAAAGTCATACCTATTTTCATAAGAGGAATGACTAAAAAAAACACCGGTAGCACTCCGGGAGTGCCGGCAGAAGTGAAAACTTCAATATTAACGTTGTGTTTAATTATAAGTATAAAAGTACTATCATTTATGAGAGAGGTAGAATACAATGTTTATTTATTGCGCTATCGTACACAAATATGGCAATTTATATGTTGTTATTTATAATATTATATCGTTATTTATATATTACATTAAATTTTATCTCTCAGAAAAATCAACTTCCATCCATAATTTCGACGACTTTTGCACCATCGTTATTATCAGAATCATCATCGCAAATTTTTACAACTGATACAATTGGTTTATGATAACTGAAGTAAGAAACAAACAGTTTTGATTCGAACATATTTAAGTGTAAGTACAAGGTAGTCTCGCAGTGCCGGATTAAGCTAGCGCGGGGCCTGTAGCAAATTCTGTCAAGGGGCCCTTGCTTTGCTTTAGGTTCTCAAGTTTAGGGTATTAAATAAAACAAAATTGTTACAAATAAACTTTTCTGGATTTAATATGGGCAA